AAGGTTTGTTACACTCATTCAGCCGTTTGTGAGTAAAGATGAATGTCCTGCTCCAAATGACTGAATGGCGTTGCTGAGTGTGGCTGGGAGAAGCCCTAGCACCCCTGTCCAGCCAGACATGGACTAGACCTCCCCCACTGACCTGAGTGTGGGTCCTCAATCGTTCTCCAGGCTCAGATTCTTGTAAGACAAGCAAGACAGTGCCCACGAGGTCTCCTGGCCTGTCCCTCCTCTTGGGCAGCCGATATCAACGCAGGATTCGATTTAAGTCAGAACCTGGACCCATGAATGTACCCAGCTCTTTTAACAAGTATCTCCAGGGATAAGTAGAATGTTCTCTTTAGATTTTCCCAAAGCAAAGCAAAAGGCTTCCCAGCAGAGATGGGCGTGAGCTCTCGTCCAGTGTTGAAAGGAGCTGGCAAGGGAAGGGGAGGATGGGAGGGAGGGAGGCCCGGGAAGGAGCAACATGGGTGGGCTTTCCAGCTCCCAGCCCTGGTCTCCATCTGTTTCTAATCAGATGCCACATGGAACAGGAGGAACAGGAAGGCCTCAGGCTCAGCCAAGAGACCTGAATCCAAATTGCTTCTGTTGGGGCCACTCTATTCTGAGTCTCAGGGGTTCTTGGAAAGCACAGGACACCCCTCCTCCATCCGGCCTCACAGCAGACCACACCTCCTAGATGGAGAGGTCACTGTACACCGGGCTGGGCTGGGCTTGTGAAGTGTCTTTTGTCCATGAATTTCACTGACTTCAGTTCTGAGGTCACAATGCAGTTGCTTCTCTCTATCCCAGTCTGAAATTGTGCTGTCAACCAGCACAATGGATACATTTCTGTCCTATGGCCGCCCCCTAGTGGCAAGAGCTGGTAGCAAGTAACAAATAGGAAATTGTTTTTCTGATTTTAAAAACGTTATTTTTTAAAGTTTTTAAACAAATTTTTCACTAAATTTTTGTGTATTTCATACAGAACATCTTAATCATCTTTATACCCCCTTCCGCACTGGCATCCTCCCATAGCCACCCCCACGCTGGAATTCATACATTCTGTCATTTATGTTAAGGCCTATCAGTGTCAAGTGAGTGTCCCCAGATGTTCCTCTGTGCAAGTTCATCCACTGAGGTCCTACCTAGAGTCCCTCCCTTTAAGAAGATCATCCCTGGGGCTGGAGAGATAGCTCAGCAGTTAAGAGCATTGGTTGCTCTTATGAAGGGCCCACATGGCGGCTAACAACTGTCCATAACTCTAGTTCCAGGGGATCTGATGTTCTCTTCTGACCTCCGCAGGCATTGCACAACATGGGTGCACTTATGCACATGCAAGCAATACACTCATACATATAAAATAAAAATAATAAATAAAATATTATATATATATAAAAAATCAGCCCTTCCTCACCCAGCATTAGTCAGCTGCTAATAATTCTTCGACCAAGATTGGGGCCCACTGTCCATTTGCACAGTTCTGTGCTGGGTTTTTGTCTGATTGAGTTTGCATGGGTCTTGTGCATACTAACACCATTGCTGTAGGTTCATATCAGCAGGGTGACAGGAACCTGTAGGACTCTTATTTCCGTATGATCATGCACCTCCCTGGCTCTTACAATCTCTCTGCCCCCTCTTCTCCAGTGGTCCCTGAGCCCTGGATGGGTGGATTTTAATATAGGAGTCCTGTCCAAGGACTCACACTCTGCAGACTCTTATTCTCTGTGTTTTGGCCATTTGTGACCTTTTGTGTTCCTGGCCCTCTGTTGTATGAGGGAGCTTCATTGATGAGGATTTAAAGATGTATTAGTGTTCTCTTCATCCCTTGTTCTATGTTCCGTGAGCCTTAGGTGTAAAGGTTGCATCCTAGATGCACCATATAGACTTGGGCAATTCACAAATTCACAGACAATCTCTGTGTATGATCAGTGTAGAACTCTGTAATTATCTCTATTTCTTGAAAAAGAAACTTTTTTGATAGGTG